GGAGGACACCTGTTAAGTTGAGATGTCAAATAGGTCCAGAGATCCAAGGGAAGGCCTGGAGATAAAGAATTGGTAGCTTCTAGCATGATGGTAGTCTTTAGGAGCATAAATGGGAACGGAGAGAGGCAAGTAAAGAAAGGGTAGGACACACAATATGGTCCGAGCCCACGTCTTCCTTACTCGAGGACTTCGAGGCAGCAGCGAGCGAGGATCGGTGCAGAAGCCAGAGGCACCGCCGGTGTGGGCTGCAGTGTGCGCACTCAGGAGTGAGGCCTGTGGGAGGAAGAGAGCAGGAGCAGCAGGCGTGCAGGCAGGGAAGGGAGGTCCCCGATGATTCCGGGGTGACCTCATGAGCGCAGGAGAGATAAGCCCACTGGGGTTAACCAGTGGACAGTGAGGGAGCGAGGAACCACACGCACCGATTCCGGCCATGACTAATGGCATCTCTTGAACAATGACTGAGTGATTGTGGGCCCTGTGACACCCATGCGGAAGTTGTCCTGGTGACCACAAAGCCCCTCGCCCTTTGCTCCGCCACGCCCAAAGCGCCTTTGGGTTTGTGATGACAGTCTGGCCCCCGCCTTTGATTTTGGGAATAGCATACCCCGCTCCCAGGGAGCCGGAGAGCCCTGCCTGGCGCCGCCCAGGCACTGCCCCCATATCCCCCGTAGGTTGCCTCGGACACAGGTGCATGTGCCCTGCCGCTCATGGGGATGACATTGAAGAAGGACACCCTCCTGACTGTGTGGTCAGAGTGAGGTTCACAGGACCCATGGGGAACAGGAGGAACCCTCGTTTTTGGAGGAGCGGGAGGCCCTGCCAGCTGTGCCAGGAGCCGGCCCCGTGCCAGTGGGACCCTGAGGTGACTTTTCACCTGCTGCTGGAGGCAGGTGTTCCAGAGTCAGGGAACAGGGAAGAAGGGAGGGATTATGCCCTTCTGGGCATTCCAGAAAACACTACTGGAGGGGCAAACAGAACGTGTAGCATTTAATGTTGACTGTCTTAGCTGTGTGGAGCCTGAAAGTGCTTGTGTTAGCTTTATTTATCTTATCTAGACAAACTATAAATTCTTCTCAGCTGAAGGCCAGGAGAATTAGAGCTAGAAACTTCCATAGAAGGAAGGCATGGGACATGAATGGTTGAGGTTCCGAAGTGACCTGGATTCTTATCCCAGTGCTATTTCCAGAAGCTGAGGAAAGTGGTAGACTTTGGGAAAGCGTGCCCCTGCGCCTAATTTCACGTTCAGATCCAGAGCCTTCTCCAAGACACAGGAAGTTCATCCGCGGTGCTGGGTGAAGGACAGTCTGCCTTAACAGTTTCCCGAATGTGCTTGGTAGTTAGGATCAACTGGATGCTTCTTAAGCTGCGGGTTCAAAGCCTCACCCCAAAGCCTGCGGCAGAAACCAGGACCTGGCCAGGGGCCCCGGAGCGGCGCTACCCACTGCTGGTAGAGCAGACACAGGTCACAGGTGCAAGCCGCGGGGTGACTGCACATTTCCTAGTAGCCACGTTTTAAAACTTAAAAAAAAATTAATGACCTGTTTAGCCCAGTATATCCAAATATCATTTCAACATGTAGTCACTGTTTTCTTTTTTTTGTATGAAGTCTTCAAATTCGGGTGTGTTTCTACCTCCCTCACATCCTCGAGCCCTGACCAGCACCGGGGCCAGTGCTCGGATGCCCACCGAGGCTCGTGCTGCCTGCTGGGGTCGTGGGGGCATGAGAGCACCTGGCTCCAGGGATCCCAAACAGACCGGGCTCTACCACTGGCCCCCCACAAGATGGGAAGGCAGAGAGATAAGGGGTGGTGAAACAGGGATTTATTTCACTGAGGCCAACACCGGGAAGACAGCAGCTGCCTCCAAAGTGCCCAGCACAGACTGACACTCATATTTGGGAAAAGGTGGTACCAAGGTGTGTGGGTCCGTGCAGGTGGGCAGTCAAGTTCAGGTGGATCACAGTCTTGGGATCAGTCATGCGGGGTCTTGCTCAGGGCAGGCGTTATTGCTTTTTGGGGGGCGGGTAGTTTTGGTTCCCTTCAAGGGGATGCATTGCTCCTGCGTGGGTGGGTCTTTCACCCGAGCTGAGAGGAAACTGGAAGGAAAAAATTAAAAAGTACAGACCAAGGTCCAAATGGAGGTGAAGTCCCCTTTCTTGTCCTCGAAAGTGGTTTACAGAGTTTCTGTCAGTGAGCTGTTGCAGATGCAAACAGGTAAAATAACCCACATTTTAGGTTTAGGTTTGGCTTCATCTTTGTAGTGTTGAATAAATCAGCATCCTGGTTCTGTCCTGGACACTGTACAACAAGTGTACTTCGGTCTCCTTCCTGAGGCCCAGGGAGCTCTTGGGGGCAATTCTCAGCTCCCCCGCCCACCAGGGGTTAGGCAGAGTCTTTAAGGGCCTCTCCTGTCTTCCTGGGTTCTGTCCCCCATTGGAGCCTGCCAGGTCCGGAAAGTTCCCTCCAGTCCCCCAGGGGCCTGAGTACTGGGCAAAGAAACCCTTTGTTTTGTGGTGAGGCTGGGATTTCTGTACTCTCAGCTACTGGGGCAGTGGTGTGGATGTAACTGGGGATGGGAAGGGGTATTGGTCTGGGCAGTTTTTGTTTTAAATTTACTGTGCTCGTGGTGACATTTTAAATTCTCTTCACAGTTTTCTTTTCTCCATTTACACTATTAACTTTAGAATGAGAAAGAAAAGAATCGAAACAGTAACAAAATGTTGGACAAAGAACCCCTTCCCCATTCTTAATAGCGGGGCGGGGGGGGGTGGGGAACGGGACGACGCTTTCCTGTTTCCCTAGCTTCCCTCAGAGACAGAGGGCTGTCTGTAGCACCCCCCCGCCCCGACACTTCTCTGGCTTCTGCTGGGAAATGGTTCATCTCTGGATGTCAGTAGGAAATGCAACCAGATCTGAGACTTCGTGGCGCTGCCGGGGCCCAGGAGAGATCCCCATTCCTCAGGAATTCCTCTGCAGTGGCTCGCCGGGGCCCAGGAGAGACCCCCATTCCTCAGGAATTCCTCTGCAGTGGCTCTGGCTTCTCTAGGATGGGCAGGAGGATTCGCTGAGGAATCGGAAGCCCTCCGGATTTAGGTTGTCAGGTTTCCTTTAAAAAAATCTTTCCCCTTCCACCCTCACAAAAGCAGGACTAGATTTTTGTGCGGTAGTTCTTTCAATAATGAGCTTGAAAAGCTTGACTTGTGCTCCCAGTAGCTGCAGGCACAAATGTAAAAGGTATTTGGAAAGCCAGGAAAGGCCCAACCATCTGAACATCTGAGAGCCCTGCACCTGGGGGGCCAGCCCCCCTTAGCCCCCCTACAGGAAGCGGCGCCATTGAGGCTGGCTTTCACATACTCCACAAAAAGCATACAAAACTGTAAGAACTTCAAGCAATGCAGAAGTGAGTAAAATAGAAAACGAAAGCCTTCAGTCACCCCCCTCCGGGAGGCCCCCCTTGTGGGCAGCTGTCTGGTCTGTTGTTAGAGTAGCTCAGGGATTTGACACTCAGATTTGTAGCTGTTTTTGTAAAACTGGCATCCCGGAGAAGTCACCCTTTTCACGTGACAATATATCAGACACTTTCCCATGCCACTGCATGTTGATCTGAGCTTTTTCTTTTTTTAAATAACCGCAGAGCATTTCAATAGAGCCATCATACCTTGTGGAATTAACCAGCCCCCGGTTGATCTGCATTCTTAGCTGTTGGAACCAATACTGAAGTGAACCCAGCTGTCATCTCATGTGTCTCTCTACACCTACGCACACCGTAAGAAAAATTCCTAGAAATCAGGTTGCCTCGTCGAGAGATAGGGTTACTTTTTATTTTGCTAGATCTTCCCAGATTGCCTTCCAAAACAGCTGTGCTCACGTACATTCCTCATACACGCATGAATCCGTTTTAGAGGAACTTCTTCCACAAATCTGGTCTCTCGTGAATCACCAAAGAATCAGATGCCTTTGGGGAATTGTTTGGAAGCTGTTTTAAAACAACTGTTGTCACTGAGAAGCGGTCACCTGGCTGGGGGTAACTTTGGGTAAGGCCTTTGCCACCTGAGAGCGTGAAAGATGGATGGGGGGGCGGGGCCTAGGGGGCTCCATCCCAGGGTCCTGAGATGGAGTCCCACATCAAGCTCCCTGCTCTGGGGAGCCTACTTTTCATTCTGCCCGCCGCTACCCCTGCATGTGCGCACCCTCTGACAAATCTTTAGGGGGAAAAAAAGCAGATTGTGCTGTACAGGGCCCTGTGACGATGCAGTGACACTGTGCCTGTGTATAGGGGCGGCAGTGGAACCGCTGTAGGGAGGGCGCTTGTGGAGAGTTTCCCTGCCCAGGTCTTACGCTCAAGGGCATCAGAGGACGGCAGGAAGCACAGTGGGCACTAGAAATCTCTTGAACCTAAGTCAGTTACTTTGGCTTACCCCACCAGTAGAGAGCCCATGGAACTTGAAGCCTTGGGGGAAGGAGGTTATCAAAGTGCAAATCTAAGTACTTTAAAGGGGAACCAAGGAACTTTAAAATTAGAGTATCAATTTCTATTCCCTCTGTCACTACTGTTTTTTGGTTTGGTGAAGTAGAATCGTGTCGATTTCACGGAGTGGGGACTTGTCCAAGGTAGGGCACCCAGACTACAGGTTTCTGTTCTCCAATCAGTGATTTAAGAGATACTTACTAGCACACCTGGAAAAGAGGGGTGTGGAACCCAGATGAGGTTTTGTGGCCAAGCTGCATTTGTGCTACATCTGGGTGGCTACAACCTCATTGTCTTGTTCCTTTGTGGCTTGTACTGCACTCTGAGCTCTCCACGGTCCTCATCAGCGTTCAGCAAGGCAGTGGTGAGATGTTCTGGACCTGAGGGGACCTCCAGGTACCTCCAGTATCTTCCTTTTCGTACTTACCTTTTGATTTGGCAAGCTCAAGCTTCCTCCTCTGCCACCACCCTCGGGGTAACAGCCGGGATCTTGTCGGGTAACTCCAGGCATGCTTTGTCTCTCCTCCGCACAGAGAAAAGAAGTTAAAGGCCAGAGTTCAAGAGCTGGTGAGCGCCTTGGAAAGACTCACCAAGAGCAGTGAAATCCGACACCAGCAATCAGCAGAGTTCGTGAATGACCTGAAGCGGGCCAACAGGTACAATCTCCATTTGTGGGCTCCCCCTACACCCGGAGGGCATTTCCGAAATTGCTGGGAGCCAGCTCCAGAGAGGGAATGGCCAGTCCTCACCAGCCGGCCCTCCCTGCCACCCCCAAGACTGGCCTTCCCTCAGGCATTGGTTCCCAAAGTGTTCCACAGGAAACTAAGAAATGCTCAGTAAAGGCTAGTCCTTGGACCAGGTATTTGGGAAATGCAGCATACTATGGTCCCCTTAATTCCTACAGTAAAGGTTCTGATAAGTCATACAATAAGAAAAAAAAAAATGGTGTTTAAGCCAACATTTTCCCAACAAAATTGGCTCTAGAACTTTTATATGAACAACGGTTTTTATTTATTAAGTAAACTCTGGCCCCCAATGTGAGGCTCTAACTTATGACCCCCCAAGATCAAGAGTTACTCTATCAACTGAGCCAGCCAGGTGCCCCTATGTGAAGAACATGAAGTATCTGGTGGACACTTTATGGGGCACTATTGTAACAGCATCTGAAGCTTTTTGGGCTCAGGACCCCTTTATGTTCATAAAAGACCGAGGAACCCAACGAACTTTGTTCTCATAAATTTTCTATTGATAAATCTCAGTTTAGAAACTAAAACTGAGACAAATTTTTCTTAAGTTTCTGTTTTCCAGAAAAATAAATTGGTCATATGCAATACCATTGGCATTTATTTTAAAAACTGTTTTCCAAAAAGACAGAAAAGTAGCAATTTTTACAATCTGCAAACCTCTTTCATGTCTGGGTTAGAAGGCAGCTGGAGTCGCACCTCCCCTTCCACAGGCACGTATACTGTGAAATAAATCAGAACACCAAAGCTGCATGCGGACCTGAGGTACAGGGTATCCAAGGCCGCTCTCCTGAAAGAGTTTTGGGAATCCCAGGGAGTTGGTCTCAGGATGACACTGGGAGGACCTAACTCTGTACATGGAGGGGACTGGGCTATTTGGAACCAGAGCAGGTATGAGGACTTACCCTGTCCTCGGCTTTACCCCCTGCTCTCTCCCCACCAGGCTCTCGGGGAGATGGCTCAGAGAGGCTCATACTCTGGCTGGCAGCACCAGTTGGTGGCCTTGTGTCCCGAATCCCACCAGCCTGAAGTGTGAAATTGTCAGGGCCTCTCTCTCTCCTCCTAGGTGGGGTCACTTAGACTGCAGGACTTGAAGAACACTCCTGGTAACTTAACACTGGACCATCTGTTGCAGGCAGCCACGGAATGACAGACTCATTACTAGTACTTATTTATTTTTAAAAGATTTTTATTTTTTTTGTCAGAGAACAAGCAGGAGAAAGGCAGAGGGAGAGGGAGAAGCAGGCTCCCCACTGAGCAGGGGGCCTGCTGCAGGGCTCGATCCCAGGACCCCAGGATCATGACCTGAGCCGAAGGCAGACGCTTAAACTGAGCCACCCCTCCCATCCCCCAGGTGGCCCTCATCACTTGTATTTAAATGATAAATTTCTGGAATTTAGCTGCCTTTTCTGTCTTACCTATTTTGGATGTGACTAGTCTGGGTTGTTGGTTTACACCCTTCCTAAAAGATGAGGGACAAGCCTCTAGCAGGGAAAGAACTGTAGTTAAGCCAGTAACAGGTGAATGGCCGTGAGTGTTGGACACTTGATTTCCCACTCCTTTAAAGAGGCTGAGGGACCTCTCCGTCCCAGTCAGGCAGCGGACAGGACAGGGGGTCTCCACACTACTCCAGTGACGGACTGTTCCCTCTCCTTCCCTGCTCCCCACACAGCAACCTGGTGGCTGCCTATGAAAAAGCCAAGAAGAAACATCAGAACAAACTGAAGAAGTTGGAGTCTCAGATGATGGCCATGGTGGAGAGACATGAGACCCAAGTGAGGATGCTCAAGCAAAGAATAGCTCTGCTGGAGGAGGAGAATTCAAGGCCGCACACCAACGAGACTTCGCTTTAATCGGCACCTGGGCTCCAAAGCTCTGTGGAAGCTCAACTCGAGCAGCTCACCGGGGAGAGAAGGGCCCCGGGAGACAGAGCACCTGGTGGGAGAGGGACGGAAGGGAAGGCTGGCAGGTGGGTGAGCGCCTGCACGATGGAGTACCATGGACTCTGCTCCGGGGACGAATGGCCTGGTGACACCGTGCAGACTCTAGCCGGAGGATCCCGCTCCTCCCTTTCTGGGCCCAGGGACAGCGTGTATATAGCTGCTGTGCGCCATGCGCAGTAGGCCTTGCTTCTGCTTCCAGCCCGGGCACTCTCCCTCCCACCTGTTCGCTTTCTGGAGGTTGTGCCTCGGTGGTACCCTGGGCATTCAATTGTTTTGGATCGTCCGTTCTTTTCTTCTCTTTCTGGTAGTGACCGGCCCTCTGTCATCCCCAGTTTCTCCTTTCTTTCTACTTCAGGGATAAACACTGACACATGTGGGAGTGCGGAGGGGATATCTTCAGCCTCTCGAACTGCTGATTTGCTTACTGCACCGGGCTTTGGTTTTCGAGACCCACGTACCAGCTCTGAGACACAGGCTGTCACTCAGAGGTGCTCGGAGAGGTAGATTACAGGGGAGGGTACACAGGCTTAGGGTCCCAGGTACATCTGAAGTTATAGGTAGAGCAAGCCCTACCTGAACAATTCTGTTTGGGGGAATGAGCACTTCTTTTACCTCTCACTGTGGAGGTAGGGCTGCGAAGGGCACTTCCTTCTGAATGTGGGATTTTCCCTCCCAGTGGAGTCTTATTAAAGCCAAGACTTAGAGCTGAGACGGTCCTGTTGAGACATAGAGGGGAACTAAACTTTTATCAGGAGCTGCTTCAAGAGCAGAGGAGCACAGTTAGTACTTCTGCTCCCCACCCCTCGAGGGCACCCCATAACTGCTATTCCACATCCATCAAAATTCATCCACCTGATATGTACGGAGTTCTGGACCTGCCTCTGCTCTTCTCCAAGGGCAAGAGGCAGGACACCGAGCAGAATGTTTGGCGGCCTATCCCACCCCACCTATCTAAGAGGCGGCTACTAAACCACCAGTTCCAGACTCCGCTCCTGCTGTTACGAAGGGCAGGGGATGAAGGAATGGTCGTCGAGGCCCCCACCCCCCGCCCCAAAGTGGTGGTTAGTATACGGTACTTAAATAGGTTAAATTTTAAGTAAAATGCTGACAAGGCTGGGCCAGGACCAAAGTGCCTGAATTCTTTCAGGAAGGCCTCCATCTTATATTCATTATTCCATCTCCTGTCTTTCAAGTCTTCTTAGTTACCCCACACGGATATATTCTGAAGGACCACTTGCATTTCACTCTGTAGTACTGGAAGATCCACCCGAAGCCCCCCGAGAATTCTATCCCAATGCCAGAGTTCACAAAGTTTTGTTTATGAACAGGTCACCCCATCAGAGTCCCAACGTCCATGAGCTGAAGATCTGTTTTCAGACAACCTGATACAAGTTCCTCAGCCTTCTTTGCAATGGAGAAGCCACTCCAGCCACCACCTTGGAGGGCAGAGCAATTCCAGCCCAAAAGCAACCACCCTTCTTTCTTAGGCCCACAGTAAGGCTTTCCCAAAAACACCACCAAAAACCAAAAAAAAAATGTTACCAGTCTGGAAGGACCAGCTTTTGGCTGCTTTGATCACTGTGAAAGTGCCCACTGGCTCCTGATTCTGTTATGAATCTACGATTTAGTCAAGGTTGGTTCTTGTGATTTTTTTTTTTTTTAATCGATTTTTACTCTTTGGATGAAGTTTCATTTTGTCATAAGGAAAATGTGACTGAAGTTATATGGGGGGTGGGGGAGGAGGGTGTTTAAAAGACAAAATACTGGTTTTCCCCATTTTTGCCAAGGGGAAATATTTGAGACAACATTCAAAACAGACAGCTTTCATCTTCACCAACCCTGAAAAGTATAGCTGACACAGGAATATAATCCTGTCTGCTGACTTCTGTCTACCATTCTTGGTCCAAGTTCAAAGAAAACTCACCCTTTTTAGGGTCATGTAACTCTTCCAGACCCAAGAGGTCGCTTCTCCTCCATTATAAGCCCAAGTATTACTGACCCTACTGACCCTACCTGGCCTCCTTTCGAATTTATACTTCAACATGATACTTTTAAAAAATATGTGGTGATTGGGTGAAAACTCTTTCCCCAGAAAAACTGTTACTTTTTATAAATGTGTGGAATAAAGAAGACAAAGCAATTAAATAGTTGATTTCCTTTCCTTGTATTTTTCAAATGCTCCCTAAGAGAAGATCTTTGCTGAAGGTGAACCAAGAGGCATTCATTTATGCTAAACGTAAAACCACACTGATTAAATAACTGCAGGTACCTGAATTTTTTTTTTTTAATAACCTGAGTTTCTCTTTCTAAATAGTAGCTGGTTTATATTAATCTCTCCATCAAAGGTAAACAGTGATACAGATTTAACTTGTATGAGGTGGAAAGTCTTCAGACTTCCATGTTTTTGTTTTCCACTTCCCTCAATGGTTACCCCTTTCAGGCAGTCACCTTCTGTGTCCCATCTTTGGCTCTTAGCGAAAAAGGCATGGGAAGAAAGGATCCCTTTCACAGTTCCCCTGGAGTGTATTTCCCACTGCTGAATTAAGGTAAAAACCACAGGCAAAGCAAACTTCCGTCCCGCTGGAGTGGCATCTACGTGTGGACCTGCCGGCAGATGTGACATTCTGCCAAAGCCCAGCTGCACCAGCTGCCAACGCTGCTGTGGACTCGCAGGCGGTAAGACTCCTCTTGGAGACTAAGCCCGAAAGTTATTGATGATTAAGTATCTTAAGTGACCAGACAGCTGAGATTTATCATGCCCTTCCTTCCTCTCCTGCTCTAGCCCCAGAGGTATCCTAAACGTTTCATCACTGCCAGTGCAGGTAACTGTTTCAGATTCACGCTCATCTACGAGCAGGTCAGCTTTCTGAAGTTAATATCCAAGCTGCCTGAAGCTGGAATGTTAGGTGGATAAAAACTTAAGTGCCAGTTAAAGAGAATGGCTTAATATCTCCTTCAAGATTCTTGCATTTGTTGCTGCCTTCCTCTGAGCCTGCAGCAATACTTTCACAGGGATCTCAGAGAACTTCAAATTAGAGCCTTAACATTCTCACTACTCTAGGGAGGCAGTCCAAATTAGAGCCGCTATGATTTCTTCTTAAAAACTGTTAAAGTAGTAAAATCCTTACTAGCCTCATCCTAAGAAAAACTTAAAACTGTATGAAAATCTCCTAGTTCTACCTGCATACCAATTACATTTTTTTAAAAGAAAAAACACACCCCCATAGTTTTACCTCATCTGGACAGGAATAGGCCACTGGCATGAGTTAGGAACCTCATAGCTGCCTGTTCCCTTCCAAAGGTGTTCCCACGACCTGCTCACATTATCCTGCCATTATTTTTAAGCTCTGTCAATTGTCTTAAAGCTCTCAAGAGTTTGGGGTGTCATGCTCATATTTTTAGTGAGAATTCAGACTACAGAAAACACCCAAAGGATCCCTAAAACTTTTAAGCCATTTGCAAACGCCTAACTGGAAGTTATGTGTCGTCCGTGAAACTATGTAAAGCGAAAAGATCATGGGAAGGTTACAGCTGTACCTGTATTTCTAGATGCAGCCGAGAGAGAGAACATTTTTGGAGGCCAAAAGGGAGAGAATTTTCTGATGAGTGAAATTTCTGCATTGAATTGAGTTAGGGTGCAGCCACAGGGCTGCCAAGGTTTTCTGGGAGGGAAGGGAAGATAACGTTTTTGAGATTTTTTTTTCTGCATTAAGTGATAGCTTTGTAGAACAAGAGTATTAACAACAACAAAAAATCACATAGCAAATATTTTTCTATTTTATCTTTGTGGAATGGCCTATTTGACAAGAAATGATACAAACTCTACTTGATATACAACTATTTCTCACGAGGTTTATCCAAATCCTATACTTGCTCATTGAAACCTTGTGTTTACGTAGGCCAGGCTGAAGTTGGCTACGAATCTGTGGCCTTCTAAAGTTCCCCATTTCACACACCTAAAATTATAACTAATCACATGTGATTCACTAACAGACACAGGTCTTGGGCTGCCAAGCATTGTCTTTTTAGAACTGGACCCAGAGCTACCAACGTGATGCTGGCTGCTGCCACCAGTTCATCACTGAGCATTCAAAGGCTGTTAACCTCTGTAAACCAGTGGTAAAGAATACAAGCTGAAAAGCAGCTGTCCCTGCATAAAGGTAGAACGTTTCACATGCAATGGTGGCATTTTTGATTAAGAGTTGTATTGGATACATTCTCTATCACACTGCACCTGAGTGAGCTCTTGCCTGTGACCCAGACAAGAACTCATTCTGCCCGTAACAGCAACCGCTACTGAATAACTAGATCCTTGAATGACAGTGCTGGATTTTTCCATAGTCAAGGTTGCTACAAATCACGCATCTACTGATCATCTGAAATACCAGCTCAGCAGAATGAAGAAGTAAGCTATATACAAAATTCATGCCCCCACATTCACACCGATCACACCGATGACCTGCTTTTAGTTACTTCTTACCATACCTTTCACTTTTGCACTTTCTGCAAATCAAATTCATGTGGAAAATGTTCTGTTTGTAGAACTCAGTTCACTAAAGAGTGCTAGTGTCATGACTGCCAAGTGAATGAGCCCCTAAGAATCTGCTTTTGTTTGACCCTGATGCAAAGATAATGACACATGTTCACTTTTCTATTCGTAATCAGTTTCTAGATATATTATCAAGACTTACTTTGCATGAGATTTAAGTTTCCTATTATTTGAAAATGTGCTCCTTTTAAACCACTTGAATTAGAAGAACCTGCTTGAATGTACTGTCAGTTATTAAAGCACATGTGACTAAGTTTGCATTTGTCAGTATTGTCCTACTGTTTGTACCGAAAGTCTCATTTTAAAGTTGCCCCTTAACACTGTACTATACCCTGTAATTTTTTAGATTCTTCACTTGTATGCTTTAAATGTTTCCAGATGCCTTTAGTTTTAGCTGCTGTAAAATAGCTACTTTGTGTTATTTGATATAGAATTGTTTAAAAAAAAACTCCATTTATTTATACAGAGACATTTATAATATTTTACAAACATTCTTATATTCTGAATAAATATTTCTAATTCCATGATGTACTTTAACTGTGTTCATTAAAGGGTAAGACTGTCCTCCTGCAATACATGTAAATGTCAAACCCATGCTGCTTCACATTAAACTGAAAGCCCTAGTCAAAGCTGGGGACCAGAAGACACTACATTAGGTCCAAACAGCCAAAGAACCTTAATTCATCACCAATTTCTATTTGGCTGCCTTTTAAAATGTGGTACGAATGGGAAGTTATCCATTGAAAATTTTTTTTCATTTTTAAAAATGAGGGAAACCATATAATCAAGAATTGTAAGTGCAAGGAAGTTACACATGATGACAAGAAAGATGGCAAGCAGCTTTGCAACATGTCTTTTTTAGAGGAGCAATGTTTTCCTGCAATGTCGTCAGCTCTCAGAATGAAAGCAAAGTATAATACCTTGGTCCCCCCCTCTTAAAATTTTAAATAAAAATTATCATATAGCTGAGGCTGGTAGTGGAGAAGAATGTATTTCTCCCATGATCCAAAGACTGGTAAGTATTCTATTTGGAACAACTGTTTAAGAATTACTGGACTGTAGGTATCTGACCAATTTTGCTTTATATAATACATATACATATATATGTGTGTATTATTTTAAATTTTTTTAAAAGATTTTATTTGACAGAGATCACAAGGAGGCAGAGAGGCAGCTAGAGAGAGAAGGGGAATCAGGCTCCCTGCTGAGCAGAGAGCCCGATGTGGGGCTTGATCCCAGGACCCTGAGATCATGACCTGAGCGGAAGGCAGAAGCTTTAACCCACTGAGCCACCCAGGCACCCCTTAATTAAGATTTTTTAAATTTGACAACACAGCAGGGGGAACAACAGGCAGAGGGAGTGGGAGAAGCAGGCTCGCTGAGCAGGGAACCTGAT